GATTGAACTCAGGTCCTTGCCCTTCCAAGGCAGGAGACAGAACCACTCAGCTAAATGCCGGCCCACCTTTTTTGTTCTTAATTGCATGGAGTCTGCCTTTCCACTGGATGGCACCTGGCAACACTGCTCACTGTATATTCTAATCACAAACAAACTCACAAGAGAACTTCCCGAACTCCAGAAAGTAGTGGGAATGATGGCATAAGTGTATTCGATGAAAGGGGGTTGTATTTTGAGGGAGATTAATAGTAATGTATCTTTTACTGTAATAAATTTTTTAAATGCAAATATTTACTGTATATTTTGATCATATGTATATATTTATTTATATTTGGATCACATTTATATATAAAATTTTGTTTTGGGTAAATATTCTCAAAGTCCATCTCTAGATATGAGAGAACCACAGGTATAATCTGGCAGGGCCTCCATGAGGATAGAGCAGGTAGGCTCAAAACTGTCTGAATGCCTTTTCGGACCTAGGACTTCCCAAACCTGGATCCCTTCAGGTACTGGTGAGAAACCCAGATTCCCATCACTGCCCTGCAGGGTTCATTGTTTCTCCAGGTGACTGGGGCTTGGGAATCTGGATATTTAGGGATATTTCTGCTCTACAAGATCCAGAAACTGCCCTGGCCCTTTGAAGCAATGAACCTTCCTGACAGGGAGTAAGGCCTTGTTGTTGGGGCCTCCCTCAACCCTACTGTGCCTGGAAGCTGAAGATCGGAAGTCCAGTGCACTGAAGAAACCACAGTAGAGCAATAAATCACAGTCATCTGTTGTATTTGTCCAAATGCACCTTGGTTACTTTTTTTTTTTTTTTTTTGGTACCAGGGATCGAACTTGGGACCTTGTGCTTGTGAAGCAGGCACTGGAACCACTGAGCTAAATCCCTGGCCCTGTCAAATGCACCTTGGGTCAACGTCTATCCTGTTTCTCAGTTGTCATTGTTTTGGGTTTTTTGTTTGTTTTTGCATGTGTGTGGTACTTGGGATTGAACTCAGAGCCTTCACACTGGGCTACATCCCCAGTCCCCCATCCCTCTTTTATGCAGTACTGAGGATTAGACCCAGTGCCTTCACCTTAAGCTACATCTCAAGCCCTTTTTAAATTTTTGAGACAGGGTCTAAGTCACTAAATTGCAAGCTGGGCTTGAACTTGTGATCTTCCTGAGTAGCTGGGATTACGAATGTGTATCACTGTGCCTGGCTATATTCTGTTGTTTCTTTTATTTATTTATCAAGACAGGGTCTCACTGTGTAGTACAGGCTGGCCTCAAACTCACAGCAATCCTCCTGCCTTCCCAGGGGCTTGGGATTGGGGGTGTGTACCACCTCCGCTACCTGGATGCTTCTTGTGTGCAGCAGCTGCTGAGAGATGGCTCAGGGATGGCAGGATGGGAGGGCAACACTTCACTTCCTGGGCAGACCAGCTAGACCGGTTCCCGAGTGCTTAGCCTGGATTTGGCTGGTCATTGCTGTGTTAGCTCTCCCATGTTCAGATGCATGGAGTTCATCACACACCACCCCCAGAACACAGGCTGCACACAGAAGAAACTCTCAGCCTCCTGCAGACAAAACAGTGTCCCACTTTCCTCAAGCCACCCTTCAGCCCTGCTGGTTCTCTGTGAAGTAGATCTCTAATTGAGTAGCGCATGAGCAAAATCCTTCAGTAGATCCCCATTGTTCTGACATCAGGCTGATGCACCCTGGTTTGACCAACTCTTTCCCTAAGGAAGGCAGAATAATGGCCCCCAGGTATCTCCACATCCCAACCCCTGGAACCTGTGAATATGTCACATAACAGAAGGGATTTCTACAGACTGTTGATTAAAGTAAGGGCTTTGAGATGGCAAGGTTATCTTGGATCATCTGGGCCTGGCTAGAGCACTGACATTCAACCAGGAACTCCATGAAGCCAGGGTCCAACTTATTTCCCTCTTTACTGATGGCCTGGCATGGCCCACAGGGGCTGCACACAGAGCTGGGCATCCTTCTGTGAGCACAGAGGCACAAGTCACAGGTGCAGCTCCACATGGGTGATGGGGATTGGATTCCCAGGGCTGAGTCACGTGGAAGAAGCAGTGGGCTGAACATAAGTAAAATATTTTGCCATTTACATGAAAATAGGAAAATATTATATGTGTAATTCTTTTTTTTTTTGGTACTGGGGATCGAACTTGGGTCCTTGCGCTTGCGAGGCAGGCACCGGAACCACTGAGCTAAATCCCCAGACCATATGTGTAATTCTTAAAAGAAGTGAATATCACAGAAAGATATGAATATCCCAACTGTCTGGATTCTACTATTACATGTTCATTAACACAATTTAAAAATTAAAAATACTGCTGGGGATTTAGCTCAGTGGTTCTGCTGCCTGCCTTACAAGGGCAAGGTCCCGAGTTCAATCCGTGGTACCGAAGGCAGGGAAAAAAAAATAAAAATACTGATTCTTGGACTGTGTCATGAGAAAATGTTCCACGATGTCAAGGGCAGGTGTAGAAATTTGTCAAGGGCAGAGTCTGCCAGCTCACTTCAAGCCAGGAACCGAACTGTCAGACAGAGGACACAGCCAAGATGCAAAGGAGAGTTGGGAGCACCAACCCAATATGCACTTAGAAAAACAAACAGAAAGCTCTCCTAGGGGTTGTGAGGCCAGGTTTGGGAACCCATTGCCTTAGCTGACCTTTGTGTTTTTGTTTTTGAGATAAGAAAGTGACTTGCCAAGAGCCACTCAGCCAATGTCTAGGAAAATACATTAATGAGGATATGGCTTCCCAGTCCTGCCCACTCTGGGGCAGGGCACTTTTCCCTGAGGAGAGGGCAGGACAGGAAGACAGAAAAGAAAACACCGTCTTTAATCAACTCACTTGCACAGAAGCCAGAGGAACACTCCTGGCCTAGCAAGGTTCCAGTGAGAAGAGAACCTGGTCTCCTGGAGAAAACCAGTTTATAAAAACAAACAGCTCCAGAGCACCAGTGGGTTACCCGTTGAGTAGGAAGAGGCCTGGAGAATGAGGATGGGAGGGGTGAGGGCTGCAGGCAGGAGCTGGACCAGTACCAGGGGCTTGGCCCAGCTCCATGAAAACTGACCCCTCTTGAGCTGTACTCAGCACTGGTTAGGCTGACCGGTTGGTGCCTTAGTGCCCGCGGTGGCCAAAGTCACACCGCACTACAGATGGGGTGGTGGGGTGGGGTTGCCATTCTAGATCAAGATCGGGTGAGGAGAAGGGCCACGGTCACCACAAACAGGCTCAGGTGTGCAGACCGTCCCGTCTGGGTTTCCCTCCGCCTTCCCTGTGTCTCCCATCTTCCTTCATAACCCTGGGCTGCTCCCATTGCACAGACCTGGGTGCTCACCCTGACCTTCTCCTCTGTGGACGAATCAGGCAGTGCTAGGTTACAGGATCCCCAGGGGTGCCTGTGCAGGGAGGTGGTGAAGAAGTGCTCTCACCTTTATTTCCCCTCAGGAAGATTGGAGTGCTGGTCCTTCTGATACACCTCTATTATCCATGCCCTCATTCTGCCCCTTCAGAATTCCTTCTGGGCATTTTGTTTGTTTTTTTGAGACAGGGTTTCACTATGCAGCCCAGGCTGGCCTTGAACTTATGGTGATGTCCCTGCCTCAGCCTCCCAAGTGCTAGAATCACAGGCATGCACCACACTCCCCTCTGGAACCACAGTGGTGATGTGGATGGAGCCATCAGAGGTTGGCAGGGTTGCCGGGAGAGGAGGGAACGGGATCCTGGGTGCAGTAGACCTGGTCTCAAGGACCTGGAAGGGCATAGCGGGACTTGCAGCCCCATTTCCCTGGAGAAGGGGGCTTTGAAGGTTTGCCAAGGGTGGATGGAGGCTAAGTCTAGGAAGGCTTCACTGGGTGTTAGAATGAATTCAGGGCTTTGGGCTCTGCCCATCCGGTTCCCAACGAGAGAACGAATGGGTGTATTGCTTTAAGAGAGGTGCTGGCATGGGGGGGTGGTGGTGTGTGTGTGGCACAGTGCCCAGGGTGGAAGGGGGCTTGCAAATGGAACCCAGAGGGAGGCACTGGGCTTTGGAGTCTGAAATGACAAAGTACACAGTGTTCAAGGCCTGTCTCCACCGCAAGTTTACCTGTGTGGCTTCAAGCAAATCACTTTACATCTCTGGGCCTTAGTTTCCACATCTGAAAGTAGGGATTACAATCCCAGCCTAGCCCAGGGGATTGAGAGTCAAAGGAGAAGCCTAGAAGAGTCCATCTGCTAAAGGATTATTTTAATTACTTGGAGTGGGGAAACGAAGGCCCAGAGAGGGCAAGGGCTTTGCCACATATCACACCAGGTGTCAGTGACAGAGCTGCGATTGGAACCCAGGACTCCTGCTCCTAGTTCACAGTAGCTTTCACCAAGGCTGGTGAATGAGTGAAGAGATGGGGTGAGTCTGTCTGCCCTGCTGTTTTTCTCTGGACAAGGGCAAGATGTTGGGTGAAGGGTGAAAGGGGTAGACTGGAGAAGGGAAGAAGGCCCTGGCATATGCCAAGGCTGAGATAAAAAAAAAATACAAACCCCGCGATGCCCTCCCCCGGTCCGGCCCCAGAAGTCCGGGTTGTGTAGGGCCAAGTCCATTCTGCTCCTTCCACTGCTCAGCGGCTGAGGCCGCGCAGGCTGCAATCGGTCCACAAGACGCCAGGGGGCGAGCTTGCCCATCTTGGCCGGAGCTCCCCGCAGTCACTGTCAGTCCTGCCTCCAAGGGCGGGGTGCCGGAGTGGGCGCGGGTCGGAAGCTACCCAGACCTGCAGGACACAAAGGCGGATGAGGGGGTAGGCATGCGGACAGAGACGAAGCGGGCAGAGAGATCCGGCTGCCCTCCCCACTCCACCCTTCACTCAACTGCCGGTCCCTCCACGTGCACCCAGCCCTAAGCCAGGACCCACGTGTACAGAGGCTGCAGCTGTAAATGCGACGTCTTCTGTGGCGCCTGGTATCCGTAGGAGTCAAAGCCACCAATGAAATCAACTGCGGAAGGGGAGGGGGCGAGTTAAGAGGCTGGGTCCTGAAAGGGAAGACTCGGTAGCAGGACCCCGAATCCCCCGGAAGCCCAGCGGGAGAGGCGGGGATGAGGTGGGGCCTTCGGGGCGGGATCTTCTCCTGGCCTGCGGGGATGGGCCTGTGAGGGAGCCGGGCCAGCAGGGGCTCAAGTTCCCAGACTATAGAGCCTGGGAGGGAGGCGGGACTACAGGAAAGAGGGACCCTGGAGGCGGGACAAGACCCCGCCCCCCATGGAGTGGGGGCCAGATTGGAAAAAGGCGATGGTGGGGCCGTAGGCTGGGCACCTGGATGTCTAGGCCCTAGTCTGGCTGGCTATGCAGATCCCACCCACTGCTGCCATCTCTCCCTGAGAGGGGCCCGGGCTGGCCCAGAGCTCCCCTAGGCAAGGCCTCCCAGGCCCTGTCCAGGGTGCTGAAAATCGCTGCGTGGCGCCCGGCCAGGCTTCCCGCATCCCTGTGGGCGCCTTACTCACAGCTGTCCTCCTCCTCCAGGAACACTTTGCTCACGTAGCAGGCGAACACAAAGCCGAACAGCTGGGAGAGGGGACGACAAGTCAGGGGAGAGAGCGCATCTTCTCCTGGGCCCCTGCGCACTCGCCCCAAATTGGAAGGGGTGTGTCGGGCCTGGATTGAGGCAAACAAACCCTTCACAACTTCAGGTTAAATGCCTACACTTAAAAGTCCAGCACACTGGGTCCCCTTCTTCATTCCTGGAGTGTGGCTTCTGATAAGTAATTGCCCCTTTGAGCCCAGCCTGTTAAGATTATGTGTCTGTGTGTGTGTATAAAGTGTCTAGAATGGGGCTGGCCTCTTGGAAACGGGATTCCTACCAACTTGGAGCACCTTCCTATTCTCACAACTCTACTAGGTTCCTTTTGTGAATAAGGACATAAACTTAGAAAAGGTATACAATGGTGGGTTGGTGGGTGGGTGGGTGGTGGTGGGCAGACTCATGATCTGATGCCTCATCGCATTCATTAAGCCCACCCACTCTTGGCACAGGGGTTAGGCAGAGGTGAAGAGAGGTGGCACAAGGTTTGGAACCAGGTCCAGGCAGAAGCACAGGTAGGCTGGGAGACCTAAGTGTGTCTCCTCTTAACTACAGATAAAGAGAGGGGTTGGGATGGAGCCCACCCCTCTGAGAGTTTGTGTGGGGTGAGCGACTCACTGCCAGGAAGATCTGCAGGGCACTGCTGAGGGCTTCGATGTAGGGATAGTCCAGCAGGCAGCCGGTGACAGAGATGACATGATGGTCCTCCAGGGCCAGGCGGGAGTTCAGAACGGGGGTCACCAGGCAGCCGGGTCCGTTCTCCATCCACCAGGAGCGGTGCAGCGATGTATTGAAGGTCATGATGAAGTCCCGGTCCTGGGGGCAGAGGGGCCTGGGATACTGAGCGGGGGGAGGGGAGTTATACAGCACACTTGGATCTACGCAAGCAGCCCCCTCTCGGGTGATTTGGGAAAAGAATGAGGATTGCACTTGCAAGTCCGTGTTTGGCCAGCAGGTGGCAATTGATGATCATACAGGCCTCACACTTCATCGCTGAGTTGGAAAGGGTTGGCGCTTACCTTAAGGGAGAGTCAGAATTTCAGGGATACAAGGGACATTAACAGTGTGTGTGTGCGTGTATGTGTGTTTGTGTATATGTGTGTGTGTGTTTGTGTGTGTAGGGGGCAACTCTCCAGTGGCTGGTGAAATGCTCAGTACGGGCCCCTTCACGGCCCACTCTCCACCGCTTTCCCTGTGTGTTGCGGGGCACATCTCTCCTCTCTTGTGTCCTTGGTCTCCCCTTTTGTTACATGGAGAAAGGGCTGGGCTACAGCGGAAGTTCTTGCCCAGGTGGCAGCCTGAGCTCAACAACTTTCAGTCAGACTGAGACTCACTGTGTGCTGGCCACTCAGGTGTGAGCTCTCGCTACGCCCCCTCAGCAACCACATGAAGCTGAGGATACTGCTATCTCCACTTACTGGAGGAGGAAGGGAAGCTCAGAGAGGACGAGCCATGGCCTGGGGCCACACTGCTGGGAAATATTAGAGCTGGGTTTTGAATGTATTAAGGTTAAACCAGAAAGCCAAAGCTCTTACTCACATATTTTGCCTCCTTTATTTAAAAACAGAAGAAGTGGGCTGGGGATTTAGCTCAGCGCTTCCGCCACCTGCTTCACAAGCACAGGGACCTGAGTTTGATCCCCGGTACCAAAAAAAAAACGAACCTAAAAACAGAAGCAGTGTCTTTCTGGGCTTGGTCATCAAGCTAAACAAATGTGCTTTAAAAGTTCTCCATGTGACAAAGTCTGCTCATTGTTCCCTGAACAAACACTAACTGGTTCTATCCCTTCTGAAAATTATCGATCAGCACTGACCCAAATCTTTGAGTCTAAGCTGAACAAAGTGCATAGCATTTTCACTCCCCTTGCTCTGAACATTCGATTGCTATTCATGGGGCCTAAGAGTAGCTTTCTTGGCCAACACATGCTGTTGCTGTTTACTGAGCTTCTGATCAACTGGGATCCCTGGCCCATCTTTACTTGGACTGCTCTTTAGCCTCACCTGTTCCATCATAGTTTCTGAGAAGAGCAGAGGAGACAGAAATAAAAATGGGGGGGGGAGTGTTGCACAGATTACTTGAGTGTATAGAGGCAGGGAGGTCTCCAGAGATGACACCCCAGGCCTACACCACACCAAGAGCCCTGGGGTAGGGATGGGAAAAGTCAGGCTCTGCCTTAGGGCACTGCCAGGCCTGAGGCTTACCTGGGACAGCTGTCCAACCTCCAGGTAGAAGCAGATGATAAATGCATTCCAGCCAACCCAGAGCACCAGCCAGGCTGCATACTGGGGAAAGCAGAGGTGGGTTCAGGGTGGGGCCTGGGGAGTGGGGAGGGGGGTGAGTCAATGGAGATGGAGGCCAAGGGTGGAGGAGACCTTTGCAGGGAAAAGCATGGTAACACCCCAGAGAGCACACTATCATTTACAAGTCATCTTCACATCCATCCAGTCCTTACCACAGCCCTGCAAGGCGGGCTTTGTCCTCCTAGAAACCACTTAGCTAAGGCTGAGAGGTTCAGGCTTTCCAAAATCACACAGCAAGCAATTGGGAGGGCTGGCATGCCAGTCCAAGTCCTATCCACTTTGTTAAAAATTTCCACTAGGATGGAGGTCTGTAGAATGTACTAGAATCACTCGGGGAACTTGTTAAGAATGCAGATTCCAGCTGGGGGCAGTGGTGCTCACCTGTGGTCCTAGCTGCTCGGGAGGCTGAGGCAGGGGGATTGCTTGAGCCCAGGAGTTCAAAGCCAGCCTGGGAAACTTAGTGAGACCTCATTTCTCTTTTTTTTTAATGCAAGGTCTCACTATGTAGTTCAGAGTGGCCTTGAACTATGTGGCACAGGCTGGCCTTGAGCTCATAGCAATCCTCCTGCCTCAGCCTCTGGTGAGACCTCATCTCTTAATTAAAAGAAAAAAATATATATAGATTCCTAAGTCCTGCTTCCAGATTTACTGATTCTGAGTTTCTAGGGATGTTGTTCAGGAGCTGTTTAAACAACCCCAAATTGTGACTTGGATGACACACTAGAGCATACTCCAGATGGCAAACCACTAGAGGGCAAGGGCCTCATCTGCCTCATTCACCATGCAACATGAGTGCCTGGCAGTGCAGATTATGTAGCATTCGGTGACCACTGGACCACAGGAAGTGGTATGGAAAGTATTCCTGTTAGGCCATAGCTGTTAAATGGAGGTGCGTGGTCAGAAGGCCTGAAGCTGAGAGCTGGCATTTATTAAGAGTAGGGGGGAAGAATGAGGATTCACTTTATTTCATAGGAGGACTTTTTTTGTGGTAATGGGGCTCAAACTCAGGACCTTGCACTTTTGAGGCAAGCATGGTGCCACTGAGCCAAATCCCCAACCTGAAAGATTTTTTTTTCCCCCAGTGCTGAGGATGGAACCCAGGGCCTTGAGCGTGCTAAGCAAGTCCTCTACCACTGAATTACACACTCAGCCCCATGAAGCCTGAACTGTTGTAAGTGGCTGTGATCCTCCATGAGAGGGTAGAGTCAGCAGTAGTTTAAAGATACTGAGAACTTTGGACCAAAAGAAACAGGAAGTCATCCTGAAGCCTGGTGCCTGAGAATGAGGGTGACATCCTCTCACACATGCTTGGGGCTGGTATGAGGGGCCCAGGGGAGGTGGGGGCAGAGGAATATGTGGGGCCTGGCGAAAGGCTGAGGTGAGCAGAGCAAGCTGAATCTCCAAGATGGAAAGGGAGCCCCATCCCCTAGCCCACTCATTTTGCCACTATCCTCCCTCCTTGCTCTGTAAACTGCTCCTGAGTGGCCCAGGTCAGTGCGTGCGGCCCCATTAATCTCTGCACCTGGCTAGTGAGAGTCTGGAGCTGCATGGTGAGGGAAGCACTGGGACCTCTCAGCCCCTAAGTATTCCCCCTCCCAGATGTGACCACCTCTCAGGAGAACAGCATCCCAGCCACAGCCGAAAGCTAGAGAGGGCAGGGCAGAGGAGGCTTGGAAGCTGGATGCTCCACACAAGCCCCGTGCCTGCACCTGCGTGGCTGCCACCTGCTGAACAGCACAGTCGACAGTGCCTCTCAGGGCTCTCCTGAGAACTGGTCCAAAGTGTCCTACGTCAGGGGATGTAGAGCTCCACAGGACCCTGCCACCTGGCTCCTGGGAGGTGAAGTCCTAGAGTGGCTGTAGGGGGGCTTTTGCTGGCAGGGCATTGCCTGCCATTGTCATGGTAACTGTGAGGCACACACTCAGTAGATTTAGTGGAAAACTCCCAGAAGCCCTTGCAGGGGCCCCTGAAAATCAGCAGGGACCACAAGGTGAGTCTAGCTGGAAACAGGAGTTTGAGAGATTGTGGAGGACCACGGCCTGGAAAGAGGAAGTGGGAGAAGGGACAAAATCAGACCCCTGGAGCTTGAGTGCAGGCCACAGCAGCTGCTCCAGACCATGTCCTTGATGCACATATCACTAAGCAGGGACAAAAGCCAAGTCTCCTGAAGTTTCTCAGTACCCTGAGAAACTGGATAAGATGAGGCCCACCCCCCTCCTTGGTCTGTGCCCCCTGGTTTGCTGAGGCAGCTTGGTGACAGGGAAGACACTGCAGATCTGAAGCTCTAATCCTGGCCCTGCCTTTACTAGCTGTGTGGCTTTAGGAAGGCTCGCAACCTTTCTGAGTCTCTGCTTCCTCATCTGGAAAATGGAGATGGCAGGACAGACCTCATAGGACTGTTGTAAAGATGAGATAAAGCATGTGAAACAGCAGTGTGCCTGGTGCATACAAGGTTCCTGCTAAGTGATCTGTCTTGCTTATGTTTGGATTATTTCTCCGGGAAATCTCTGAAGAAAAATGGTCTCCTCCAAGCAAAGCAGTGTTGGGATTTGGGCATTCATCCCCTGGGGCTGGAGCCAAGACAAGCCAGTCTGGGTGCCCAGGGTTGGGGAATAGTTCTGGCTAGAGGGGCAGGGAGAGTGGGGTGGACAGGGGTGAGAAGAGGGGCCCAGCATGGGAAGGGGCTAGGTGAACCATACCAGGATGAGATACCGGGAGCGGTACTGCACAGTGCCAAAGATGCCCAGGATAACTGCCATGATATGCAGGAAGTTGGCCAGGATGGGAGCCCACTGGTAGCCCAGGAAGTCAAAGATCTGCCGCTGCAGTGCAGCCACCTGTGGAAAAGATAGGCTGAGTCCACTGTCACCCGTGGAGGACAGGGACTCCTCCCTAACCTTGTGGAACAGGTGACATCAGTTACCATGGTAATGGGCACAAGTCTCAGTCATCCAGCTCTTCACACCAAAAGGATGCTGGGAGTTGGGAGCTTCTTCAGGGGCAAGTCTATGGGGGCAGGGTGGGGGTTCCTAAGCCTGAGCATCATTTTTGGGATGAGCTGTAGGGAGCCAGGAGCCAGGGTTCAGAACACTGTCTTCCTGCCCAGGAGGCCCACTGGCCACTGGAACTCCACCCCTTCTCCTTGTGGGGAGTCTGGTGGGGCCAGGTCTCAGACTGGCTGTCCCAGCAGGTGAGAGAGAGGCTAAGCCACAGGCTTGCAGGGCCAAGGGACATCCTTGTGCCTGAGTCACTCCTTCCAAGGACACTTCACCAGGGGTTGTCCTGGCCCATGGGAACCCTGGGCCACAGAGAAGGGATTTTTCCCCCACTTCTTTTCCTGAGGGAGTTCTAGCAGATTGCAGAACTGACCCCACATTCTTCCTCTTCCTATTTCTGTGCACTTTGGCACTTTGGTAAGGCTGTGCTGGGTCATGTGACCAGCCTTGCCCAATGGAACTTTAGCAAATGATACAAGGGAAGGCTGGGAAAATGCACAGTATGTAACAGAGAGAACCATGTGAGGGACTCCCAAGGTGAACTGCTGGAGGCCCAAAAACACGCGGGAGAGAACAGAGGCACCCTGCTGACAGGCAACCACCAAATATGTGAGCAAGACCATCCTCCAGACTGCTCATGCGCTAGGTGACCAAACACACAGCCCACCCCAGAACAAGTGCCCCACTCATCACAGAATCTCGAGCTACACAAAATGTCTATTTAAAACCGTAATGTCGGGCTGGGGATTTAGCTCAGTGGTTCTGCCGCCTGTCTTGAAAGTGAAAGGTCCCAAGTTCGATCCCTGGTAACAGCAACAACAACAAAAACTTGTAATGTCTTGGAGTGACTTGTTATGCAGCAAAAGGTACCTGATACATACAGGACACAATTGACACTCCCCAGGAGGGCCTGGTTTGATTTTTTAGCTAATATACTTAGAAACAACAGTGCCAAGGATAACTATTATGTTTGGCTGTCCAACGTTCCTTCTTCAGGTGACAGACTTCATCTGTTTTTCAGAACCACCTTCTACCACTGTCCATGGGGCTTGTGTGGGGTTGGGTTCATTTCTAGGTTGTGGGGTGGGCAGGTAACTCAGGCCCAGCCAAGACCCAGTAATGGTTTTAGGCTTAGCACTCATCCTAAGTGGGTGGCCCCTGCCCCCACCCCTGAGTGTCATTCTGGATATCTGTGGGGACAATTGGGACATGGCTGCTCTCTGCCTGCCAGGATACCCGAGTGGAAGTGGTATCAGCCTGGAGGTGTTTGTGGTCACCTTTGTCACCCAGGAGGATGGCCTGCCCTAGAGGCCATAGCTGAGGGGCTGTGGGAGGAAAGGGAGCAAACAAGGGCAGTGTCCTGGCGACACAGTTTGGGTCTTAGGATCTAGTGTGTCTAATGCAATCTCCCGCCTTATACTTCTCATTTCTGTCCCTTGTAACCAATAGTCCTGACTCAAATAAAGGGAACAAAAGAGCGTCTGGGGCTTGGGGTGGGGATTCTGACCAAGGGAGGAGATCCCAGAAGGCTTTTCCTGGCAGGGAGGCAAGAGGTGGTGCTGATACCACCACACAGATGGTGAAGCTTGGGCAGCAACCAACGAAGCTGCAGGCTTGGATGAGAGCATGAAGGAGGCCTGGTGGTGGCAGATCCAGCCCTGGCACCTCCTCACCTGATGCCAGCCTGCCTCTTGTTGGTGGCTCCCCTCCCAGGACTGCAGATGGTAAAGAGCTTTCCAAGTTCATCTCTCACTGGATAGTCCTTGGCAGAAAAGCAAGGATGGGATCATTGTCTCATTTTGGAGGAAAGAGAACATGAAGCTCAGAAAGGGGAAGCGACCTGCCCAAGGTCGCACAGCAGGAGACAGATTAGGCCTTTCTCTGCCACCTGTTTCACCTGGGCACCAAAGAATACCTTTGCCAGTGGCACTGGTTTGGAAGTGAAAAGGTGCAGGTCCCGACAGAGTCTGCCCCTGACTGCTGAGTTACTTTGGGCAGGTCACTTTGCCTGCCGGGACTTGAGCTCGTCTCCCCTACACAGGAGTCACGTGATTACACAGTCCAGCTCTGCCTGGTCTGGTGACCTTGGGGGAGAAACTCCCCAGGCCCATCCAGGGCCATTCCATGGTTTCTTGCTGCTGCTCCCCAGCCCAAGGACTCTTCTACCACTTCCAATCTTTCCCCTTCTCCCCGACTCAGCCCAGCCTTGGCAGTGCCCATGGCTTGGGGTCCAGCTTGACATTCTCACCTCCACCAGTACTTGCTCCTAGGGAAGAAAGTCCCCATCAGAGGATGAAGGAGACTGACAGTGATACTGAAGGTGTAACTGCAGAGATGTTTTTCCCAAATATGTCCAATAGAGAGATAATATACCCCACCCCACCCTGGCCCCTACTCAAAACCCCTATTAATAATAATAATAATAATAATAATAATAATAACAACAACAACAGCACAGCATTGGAGTTACTCCAACTCAGTTCACATACAGCCCTGCTGTGTGGCCTAGAGCAAGTCGCTCTCCTTCTCTGAACCTATTTCTTCAACTCTAAATACAACTTGCTGCCAAGTTATAGTGAGGCTCTGAAGACATCACATAAACTAGTAGACAACTGAATGTGGTAAACGGTGGCCAATTAATAGAAGACCGAACAGTCTAAGCTGCTTAGTTAGGCCCTGGAGGTCGACCAGGGTCCATAACAATGCTTATTCCCTGTCAGTGCCTGCCTCAGAGTGGCTGAAACGACAACCCAAGTCCTACATTCACTTCCTTTTCCTCTCTCCAAGCCCTTGCTAGTAGTCGAGTGCAGCTCAGTTCCCTCCTTCAGCAGGAAGACCTCCTGGATTGGCCGGTCTGCCCCTGCTGCTCCGCCCCACCCAGCCCCGCCTCGGCCTCCCCCCCCCTCACCTCCAACAGCCACTCCAACCTCCATCCATTGGCACCTGACATGTCCTCCTCTATCCAGGCTCCTCGCCTGGGATGTGTGTGAGAGAGAGGAAGTAAGATACTTGCTACCGGGGAACTCAGTCTAGCAGAGGAGGTGCATAGGAAATCAGACAATTCAAACCAGTGTAGTCAGCACCGTAATCCAGGATTCCCCCCAACCCCCAGTACCAGGAATCAAACTCAGGGCATTTGCCAGGCAGGCAGGGTGCCACTGATCTACATCCCCGGCCCCAGGCCTTATTGAGACAAATTTAAAGATACTTTTTTTTCTGGTGGTACTGGGGATTGAACCCAGGGCCTTTGCCTGAGCCACACACCCCCCTCTTTAAAATTTTGAAACAGGGTCTCTATAAGTCACTAAGTTGCCCAGGTTAGGTTCTTTGTGATCCTCCTGCCCCAGCCTCTCAGAGTGCTGGAGTAACAGGTGTACACAATGCCTGACTTAAAGATAACTTTTTTTTTTGGTACCGGGAATCCAACTCAGGGCCTCATGCTTGCCCGGTAGGCGCTGTGCTGCTGAGCTACATCACCAGTCCAAAGACACCTCTTTAAAAAGATTCAATATCTTTTAAATAATATCAATTCTAAAGATATTATTATTGGTACTGCTGGGGATTGAACCCAGGGCCCTGTGATACTAGGCTAGCACTTTATCATTGAGCTATACTCCCAGCCTTTAAGGTTATGATTTTTTTTTTTTTTGGGAACACCAAGTCAAACATTCCAGAACTCCTGAATGTGCAGCAGCTAATTAACAAATACTGATAACAAGGAAGCAGGAGGACTATCTTCCCCATCTGGTTGTGCTGTCTTAGAAACAATCTTCTGAGGCCACAACAACCATAAATCATAAACAGCCTCATGTGTCTCCGTGATGAGACCTCTTTGATGAGAGGAACTGTGTGGAAGCAACAGCAACTTGGTCTTTTGCAAAGATTTCAAATTTATGTCCACTGAGGGACAAAACCAGCTCTGGGGATGTTTTTACCAGCTCAAGGTGCAAGCCAGATCAAGCAGCCTCCTCCAATCTCTCCTAAGTGTGCCAGAAGGGAAGTTCCAGGAGGCAACTTATGTGGCCTCTTCTCAGATCTCCAGGCAGAGGGTGGCTGGCCGCCACCTGGTTCAGGCTCAGTGCTTTCGGATGTGTGTGTGGTCAACCCAGGGCTTTTGCACTGAGCTATAGCCCCAGCCCTTTTTAACATTTTTGAGACAGGGTCTTGCTAAGTCACTAAGTTGCCCAGCTAGGCTTAACGGTGATCCTCCTGCTGGAGCCTGCAGAGCTCAGGGATTACAGGCACGTGCCACCACATCTTACACCCTCTTGAAGATGAATTTGGCCCCTGCTTCCTCCTGGTCAGCTTCTGCATCTGGGGACACCCCCTTTGGCACATCCCAGTCTCTCAAGTGCCTTCCCGAGACCTCCATTTCTCTTCATCCCCAGCACCCCTTGGACAGTGCCCCGAAGTCACCAATCTGAAAACCCTCTCCAGATCCCCTAGGTGACTTCCCAACACCCTTCAGAATGAAAGGTCCAGTCTTATGCTGCTGGGAAAGCCTGGAACTCCTCCTCCTTTCGTCATATCTGTCCGAAGCCCACAGCTGGACAGACCCGTGGTCCACTCTCCCAGTGTCCACACACCAGCCCAGCATTCTACAGTCACCCAGGGTCCACAGCAGACCACACTCATGGCTTCAAGGCGGCTCCTGGTATCATCCACAGCCCCACTGGGCATCTCCCATGATAGTTTAGGATCTTCCCCTGGTCCTTGGGTCCTGGGACCCCTGTGCTCTCTCTCTCAGTGGTGGCTTGGTGCCCATGCTCCCTGTATCCTCCCTGCCAAGGTCAGTCCCTGCACCTGCTTCTGCCTTCTCAGGAGCCGGCCCCACCCACGGG